TGCTAACCGTGTGTTCACTTGAAAGGTAAAGAGTGGCATAACGCGGTTCTGTCTCGAACGGAGAGACATGCCGTAGTGCAGCTACGCGAGTATCTCGTGAAACCACACTTGAAATGGTACGACTATGATTGTAAATGCTCAACTGAACTAGGTTGAACGGAAAGAGAGTGACGAGAAACTAATAGATGCGGGAGGACTAACTGACACAGTTCGGGTTGTAATCACATCCACTCACCGCAAATAACGTCAAACTTACCTGTGTCTTGGCTGGTATCACTTTGCCCATGGTTTGAAAGCATATGAGCATCCCAAGAACCATGATGCGATGACATAGTAAAATCGCGTTGAGACCTCGTACTAGCCACTCTCTCCGGGTATGGCAAGACAGGAAATAAAAGGAGCACCAAATTTTTCTTCTTATATGCGGGAAAAATTCAACCAATCACTTTTCAGGATCAGGTAGTTGATTGGTTTCCTGCCTCTGTGAGTATATCAACCAATCAACTTCTTAGGTTCCATTGTAGCGAAATCTACTTGTGGTCAGTAACGGTGGCTGTTACTAAACTGAGAATCACAGAACCGCAAAACTTGCGGAACTTGTGGAACCATTTAAAATTTTTTTGTAAAAATAAGGAATGAAATGAGTAAAATTTTATAAAACCTTAACAGTGGTCGCAATTCCGTTTTCGGCTGCAACGAAGATTAGGTTTATAGAGAAATGATTTTTAATTTCCTTGACCTAGTAACTTTCACCGTACACGGGAATGAAATTGGGAGGCAATCTGTTGCTTTCTCGACTGCGATTGGAGGACAATCGAGGGAACGCCGTTTTAACCAATGTGCTCCGCTACTACATTTACTTCGGATTTATTATGCAATCACGCTTCTAGCTTACATGGCGCGTGTTAGAAAAATTAAAGCGAAGAAATCGAATACGAACTAAACAAAATAAGCAGAAGGAGAAAGAGAACGAGAATGGCACTGAAAATAATCATGATTAATGCTGTCCGACTCCCATCGGGCTTGATACAAGGTATCTTGCGATCTTATACTCCGATAAATCGATCTCAACGCGTCGATCTCTCTGCTGCCTTCGATTATGTGCGAATTCTTGAATTACGATAAATAAAACATTCGAATAATTAAAACGTTTGAGCGTGACTCGCGTCACACAATCAGCAGTCATCCCCTGATACTCTGAAAGCTCCAATGGTTTCGGCATCGTCCGTGATGCACGAGGATTCGTTTAGTTGGCGTTACTCACACTCAGACATATCTTGGAAATAATTATGTAGAGGGCAACAGATGAATCGAAGCCGAGTTAAATGCAAAGAACATCCAACTGAGTGGGGTAAATTTGTCCTTGTTTTTTTAAATAGTTTATACAGC